CCAAGACTACCGAAGTGGTCAAGAGAAGGTGGGCAAGAGACTCTCCATTAGACCCCCGGGCTCTGCAGGACCTGTCATGGTCCAGACTCTTATCCTACCACCCCTCTCGATATATCTCCTGGCGCACCCCCACTCCATTTCTATCTTACCTCATACGAGGAACATCACTCTCTACTGGAGCAACCTGACCAGACAGCAGACACGGGCACTCACGCTGAATGAGCTCCCCCATTCAGCCCCAGTTAAACACTAGCGTACAAGCCCCGTTATACGGGTATCTCGGGAGCTAGGCGCGAAGTTCTCAACTAGTCCCGTGAGCAGTGAGGGCACCCATAGGCAGTGTCTAATGGTCGGCTAACCAAGGTCTAACCCATGAGTCCCCTACCTCTAAGCACCAACCCAGCACGGCGCGGTTCATATATGGCTACTGTTGGTTGTTGAATATGTTGGTTGTTATGTGAGCTAGTGTGATATCATAGTCTGTATGGATGTATGTGGTTGCTTTCTGCTGCTAATGAGCCTTGCTTATGGCTGTTTGCTAGGGAGAATCGACCACGATGACCAGTGGTAATGGTGGAGACCTCAATGCTCATCAACTACCCCCGACCAACCTCTGATAGCCCACCTCCTCAGAATGGTTCTACAGACATCTAGAGTAGGACACACCTCTTGATTCGACATTGGTGTCCCTACAAGGCACCCCTGCCAACCATAGGACTGCCACGGTATCACCATGCACCCAAACAGCCCCTTACCACTCTCCGTCCCAAGAGAGTAGCATCCATCCCACATCAACTCTCCCGGAGGAAAGGCACACATCCCCACCCAAATCCGTCCAGAAGATCATCCCTAGCTGATATGACGAACAGTATACATAGACATGATGAATGAGCATAGTATGGAGTTGAGCCCTGGGACCTCCAAGTTACAATGTCAGAGCTCTACCCACTGAGCTATTGAGGTCATTAGTGTGTAAGAGCGCTATGCCAGGCTCTGGACAAGTACGTGGAGTGCAACCTACACCAACCAATTGTGCTCAGGGAAAATTGGGGGGCGACAAAGTCGAACCCGCAACCTCCCTGTTGCAACACCGGAGCTCTGCCCACTGAGCTACCACGCGCTTGCTTACCAACTTGCCGTCTCGAAGGTGAGACGCCAAGCATGCCACAGGCAGCATCATGGGGGCGATGGGAGTTGAACCCACGACCTCCTGAGTGCCGCTTGAACGCCTTACCAACTGAGCTACACCCAGTTGGTAAGATCTTGCCCACAGTTCACCATGCGCTCCAATGGCAAATACTGCACAGATGCCTCCCTACCTCTGACTGGCTGGTCTCACGAACGGATCTCAAACAGAAAGGGATCTTATCCCCAATCTGTCCCTACTGCGGGAAAGATACCCAGCCGGCCAGGGTCACCTTAGAACATTGCCGGCTGGCCTGTCCAATGATGACCCAGTTGTGGAGATGGTGGGACTTCGCCTGGCACTACCTGGTAGAGGAACAACTCCTGTCCAATCTGCCACTGTTCCTCCTGAGTCAAATGTCATCATCCTCTCGCCAATGGGATGCCTTTGCTACCAATCTGTTGTCCTATATGAGGCTGCCCCTCCTCATGCTGGCATGGAGGATGAGGTACTCGCACGAATGTAGCAAATGCCTGTTCAGCCTGGCACAGGCGAAGGAGGAAGCTATCTCCACCATAACCCTCCGTACAAGCAAAACATGCAAGGCGATGAAAAGGGATCTACGGGCTGCAAAGGACCAGACCGAGAAACAGACCTGTCTGGGAGCCTTCCAAACAGTTTGGATAGACAAACATCGGTCCCTCTGCGTTCTTGACGAGAATCTTAACCTAGTCTGGAACAGGTGGGCCGCGACAGAGCCAACCTGGCAGAGACTCCTCACTCACTTTCAAATTCTTCATCAAGACCAAAACTTTATCCTCCTCCCACCCCCCCCTCCCCGTGTCCTGAAACCCCCACCCCACCTCCCAGCCCTCTCATCAATCCCCGCCCAGGGAGACGCCATGCCCGGCCAAATAGGGACAGAAGTTACAACGGAGTCGCTGGCCAGAAGAGGAGAGAGCAAGAGCTGTTACGAAGGAGGATCTTGCTGCATACCTACTCATAAACTGCCAGCAAGAAAAGGCGGACAAAGAAGGCACAGGAAGAGGGTTTAGGGTCTTCAAAGGGTTACAGAGTTAAAGGAAAGGGGGCTAAGGCCAAATGTAGGGGGAGGGTTAGGGGGGCAACAGAAAAAAGGGGGCAGGGAGAGTGGGGAAAGATTGCGTTATTTCAGCTATGGTTTGGTCTGCGGGGCCAGTAAGGCCAAGGTGTGGTCCAGTGTCGATCATGGTCATCTTCAATAATCTGTAATTTGTATAGTGGCACGCTGAACCCGGTTTCCAGCAACTGCTGCTCCACACGTCAGGAGCACTGCTACGAGGGGCAGCTGCTATCTACCCTCTTAGCAGTAACTACGGCCAAGCTGCGTTCTTTAAAAAGAAAAAAAGAGGATTTCCCCCCCACAGACTAAGGGTTCAAACTTCGAGCCTCCGCCACACTCAACTCAACCGGCTTTTAACAAAACTAAAAAATGAACGAGCCTACATGATTGACTCTCAAAATGAAAGGAGATCTTGAGTTCACTGTTGGACAGCTCTGAGCGTTAGAAAACATTCCGGACACTGCCAGCAGCCTTGCTTGTTGACTAAGCCCAAGGGCCAACGACCTTCAAGTTATGTGTCAATTAAACCCGAGGGACAGCTGCATTCGTGTGGACACACGGGAGAAAGTTCTTCCACCGAACTCACATGGATCCGGAAACCCTGCTGGCACATATAGAGGCACCCTCGGCCAATAAGCTTTAGTATTTTAGAAGATATCAGCACATCGCCAGAAAAGGAAAACAACCATCTGAACTATCCATCCCAAAAGAACAAATGGATGTACAAAGAAGTTATCAGAAAGGAAGGATAGGGACACAACAGATGGGGATGGGGCCAAGGTCAAAACACATCCCACAGGATTCTCTTCCCTTTCTGTCTTCCTTGTCCACCCTCAATTGTAGCCGTCCCACCTAGGGGGGGTTTCAAGTCCAACGATCCGTGACTTCCCCATCCCATCACCTCGTGTCCCCCTACTCCCTCCACTCATCCCTCACCACATCTCCCACCTCTTTCCCAGCCATCACTTACCTGGTGGGAGAACAAAGAGGACAGCAAAGCATCACATCTGTGCGCTCCTTGGACACCGGCACTTTATGACTTTGCCTATCTATGATGAACCTGCTACCATGTACCAGTGATCGCCTCTGGCAGGAGCACTTCACAAGCGAGGTCAATGCTAGCCTCTGCGCCAAAGACAATCCTGAGATTGCGTGCATCTAGGGCCTGCACTCTGCTGGCATGACCAATTTGTTGCCCTGTGTATGGCCCTGCCTGTCCGAACTGTAGAATTCCCCTCTCCATGCATCTTTGCATGTGGGGAGCACCAGACATGTTACTCCCTTCCAGACTCGCTAGTTGTCTCAGCCTTTGCTGTGTGGAGTATCTCTTGTCCTCTCATTGGCCCTATCCAAACCGTTGCTACCCTTCTTGCCATATCGCTTTTTCCCTCTTGGCTATGTATTGTTGTTTTCTTTTGAGGTTGTCTTGGTCTCATCTTCAACAGCAGGTGTGACTGTTAAGTCAGGCGGGTGTATAGACATCCCCGCCCCCCTCTACCTCAGAAACATGAGAGCAATAGGGCTGATAACAGTGTTCTCTCCTTGGTTTCCCCTCCTTTTTCGTTTTTTCTTCCAGTGAAGTATTATTATGGACTGATCTTGCACGCACATTCCCTCTTGTGCCCTTCTATCCTTTTTTTTTTGTTGTTGTTGGTTTTAAATAGGTCCTGATGGTCCTGGTTCCATATCTATTCTGGGGAGTGTCAGTCCGGTTCCTGTCCCCCGGCAAGTCGAGAATTGGAGTACATGGTGAACACTCTCACGCCTCCATCACCCATCCACCATAGCCAACCATCTTGTACCTCCTCCTTTCTCCACCTCACCACAGCCAACCAACTTGCATCTCCTCCTTCCTCCACCTCCATCACCCATCTCACAATAGCCAACCACCTTGCCCTTACACCCATCCACCATAGCCAAGCAGTTTGTACCCTCTTCCTCCTCCACTCCATCACCCATCCATCATAGCCAATTAACTTGAAACTCCTTACTCCTCCACCTCCATCACCCATCCACCATAGCCAGCTACCTTTTCGTTTTTTTCTTCCAGTGAAGTATTATTATGGAATGATCTAGCACACACATTCCCTCTGGTGCCCTTCATGTCACACAACACACATGCACGCATTATCTCGTCAGACAAGAGAAACCTGAGAGCTTGCTAAACCAAATTTTCAAGGTTGCAAATTAGCAAACGTGAGGAGGAACAGATGATAGTTGTTTGACAGACGTACATATGTGCCCATGCCACACACTCACACACACACACGCACACTTGTCAGACAAGAAGAACCTGAGATCTATAGCTAAGAATTTCGGGCCCCTAAGTAAGCAGGACTAGGAGCATATCACCATGATTCCTTAACATAGGTTCCCTAGTAGTCACAACTTGAGTGACTCCGTTTTCTTTCCGGCTCATTAATGAAACAAGTGAGATGTGTTGTGAAAAGTCTCCAAGGATCCCAAACAGCTCGGTCACTGGCTTGAGTGCATTAGCAGCCATACTTTTGGTTTCCTGCTGATCAAACATTGCTTATACAAATTTAACTGGTTGCAATACTTCAAAAGCAAATACGTATAAGTGTGTAGTTGTTCCAGTAAATGTCATGTTCGTTTTTTAGAGATCACTTTCTAACGTCTCACCCCCCCCCCCCCCCCMCACACACATACAGGCAAAGCATTTCATCAGACAAGAAAAACCTGAGACATAGATACACTTCCAGAAGAGTGTGGCTGACTGAGATGCTGCCTTTTGCACATGATTTCCTGCGATACTTTCCCTTCCGCTCGCATTTTTGCCTGTCTCAGCATCCTTCCATACACCAATCAATCTATTTATTGGCCAAATTGTCTGTTCACAGCACCTCAGTTTATACAACTGTTCACAGAATCATCAGAACTGTCCAGTTGCAATTCACACAATGAAATACGGTCACAAGGGATGGTCTTGCAAGATGACTCCATGATGCCCCCCTCCCCACCTCTTCGCCCTCTCCTCCCCCCTCCCATGCTGCCATTTCTCATCCGTTCTCACCCCAGAATGTTATTGTCTCCACCATGATAGTCATCATCCCCTTCTCTAATGCCCCTATTGGTCCAGTCTAGCTTTCTTGAGAGGAGAGGATGGAGGAGGTTGGCCAAAAAACTTTGTCCAGTCCATAGACTGACCCGCATCCTCACGGGGATTCACACTCAGGCCGTTAACTCCAACAATGTTATAGCATTGCTGGTGCATCTCCTGCGAAGGACAATGTTGATGCAGGTGCGGTGCAAATGCTTGAGGTGAACTGTCTGCTGCAGTTGCCCCCTCTGGTACTCGCTCTGCCATGAAGCTCTCGGGAACAAAATTTGTGCCCCCCCTCCCGTCGTCAAAGTTGAGCTTTCCAAGTCTCCTTCCTGGGTTTATTCTATTGTTTATTGCCACCAGGTCGTGTGATGGGCTCTGGTACTCCTGTGTACCTGTGCCAACTAATGCATAAAGTCGGCGGGTGGAGGGTGAGTGGATCAATGTCTCTGCCTTCTCTGAAGAAAGTGAAGACACCCATATATTGTGCTGTCCAGATACTTTCTTGGTGGGCGACAGAGGTGATACACACCGAGTGAAGGGAGAGCCTGGTGTCCTTGCTGTACCAGTGGGCTGACTCAGTATCATGGGTGATGAACCTTGTCCCTCTGTTGTGTTGTCCATGCTCTTCATCCGACGCTTGGGAGTGATGTTTCCCTGCCCAGCAACCTCACTTCCACCAACCACATAAGGCGCAGCGGTCTGAGTCACAGGGGAAAGCTGAACTGGATGTAGAGTCAGAAGAAAGGACTTCGTAGCTGGTACGTAAACCTCGTTGTAGAACTTTATGATATCGCCAAACTCAGCAAGCTTCCGTGTTGTCGCATGCTCTATCAGGACGTTGCGGAACACATGCGGCTTGCAGTGAGGCAACTTTCTGTACTGAGCTATGATCTCCTTGAACGGGGTATTCAGTTTCACCACCTTGGCTACCCCATAGATACTTGACAAAATTATCTGATCTAAGTGCCGCTGGTAAAACAACTTGGTCAAGTTATTCAGAGTATGCTCCACAACCTTCTTCACCTGCTCTACAACATTGGTGTTGAGCCTCAGCATGTTGCAAAGAAGAGCGATTCGAACCCCTGCCAACTTTATTATCTTTTGGAAGAACATGTTGAGAACCGTCCCAGCACCTGCCTCAGAAGTGCTGCCACCGGTAAAAAGTGTCTGTGAACTCGCAGACATTGATTGTGGGGCTGTGTTTCCAGCAGTCACCCTTGATTTCCCTATAGGACAAAACGTCTGGAAAGCTGAAGTATGATCTTTGGCAGGCGATGTTACAGCATTCACGACCCCCCCCCCGCACCCCCCGCCACCATCTCGAGCTTGATCACCACCCCCTTCTACTCCCTCTCCTCCTGAAGGCTCTCCGAGAGAAGCACAGCTCACTCCATTTGCAACTGCTATTGCTGATCCCGCTGAGGAAGGGTGAAGTGGACATCTTTCGCCAGCAGAAGGAATAACTGGCAGCGATAAGCACGCTGGAATGGCAGACGAGGCAGTTGCAGAGGGACCAGCAGCAGCTGAAACCCCGTCTGACGTGCTGCGATTGCTTCTCTGAGGTGAGGCCATAGATGTGAGGGATAAAACATTTCCACAAGTCCCCGATCCCGCATGTTCCATGGCCACTGGACAGGGATCCGGACAAGGAACCTTCGAGGCCGGAAGTCTGAGCGTCTCGAGCGACGGTGGAGGATCTGGGAGCAGCTGCAATCGTTGAATTTCTTCCGATTGCGACGGTTTTGCAATCCCCAGTACATTGTACAACGACGAACCCTTTTCCCAGGCCATGTTCTCGAGGATTCGCTCCTCGATCGAGTTGAAGTGCCGCTTCAGCTCCTTCGGCAGCGCGTCTTCGTGCCTCACAAACGCCTCAACCATTCTGCTCAAGTCAAAGGCAGTGATACCCGTTGGATCGAGCACACCAGGAAATGTCACAGTCACTGTTTTGTGGCTTGCCAACACCACCTCCGAACAGCAGCCCAGCAGCGTGCGATGAAACATCTCGTTGCCCACAAGAGTCGACAAATTGCTGGTTTTCAGCCTATTCGACTCCGCCTTTAACATCGACAAAAGTATTCGGTAATACAGCTTCAGCGCTTCTTGTGCTCTCAGTTCGGCCCAAGCTCCGTCTGCTGTCACCAAGCCAAAAGCCTTGTTCTGCAGATGAGCTATTCCAAACTGCTTCCACTGCGGCTCCGAAGAGGCAGCAATGAAAACTCTCTCCAACAGAATCTGTGCACGATAGTGAACAGCGGAAATGAAGTCTTCGGTAGGACTGCGAAGATAATGCAGCAACTCTCCGGACGGCTCCATCGGACAGTTCACAACGTGGAGGCGTAACCACCTTGCTGTGTTCATTGCCGTGCTGACGGGTGTCGCCGGAGGCAAGACCGAACCTTGTGGCCAGAGCTTTACAGGAGAGGAGTATGGTGAGGCAGCTAGGGTCGACAGTGGTGAAGCTGGAGTCAGAGAGTTCGCCATATGCAGCGCATGCCCCGCTGCTGTACCCTGCGTCGTATGACCTCGCTTGGCTCCGACGTTGGGTGTCAAGCAAGCTGGATTGCCGAGGCTGCTTCCGTCGCTGCTCAGTACGATTCTTTCATCGACGTCCCCAACTGTGTAGTACCAAACCTCGTATGCACGTTCAAACACTTTGAGGTTGCTTTCGAGACCACTGTCCATCAGCCCGTCGAAATAGACCAAGCCATCCGTTTTCAACCCATCAAGGCGACCAGAGGTTTTGAAGAGGGGAGCCGGAGTGGCGGGCCTTCGAAGCGCTTCGCTGATCTTCGCATTCACTCGTTGCATCAGTCTGACAACATCTTCCACGCAGGCATAATGAGTGGCACACAGCGATGCCAACACGTCGACGCCATCAACGCCCCGTTCGGGGAACTTCTTGACGTCCTCTAAAGATGCTCGCGGCAAGGGGATGTGTATCATCAAAACCGTCAAAACGCACAGAAGCAAATTTGTTGATGTGACCAAATCGATGTAGGATAGATGGATGTGCGTCTTCAGGAAGAGGAACAGGATCCAACCAAACGCGAAATGAATGTTCACGTCTCTGGACACTATCCCCTCACTTGTCACCCCCCACCCTCCACCACCGCCATCGCGGGAATCGATACACATGCGTTCATCAACCAGGAATTGTTCGTAGAACTCCTTCCGATAATGATTATATAGAACCGCCATCTGTACAAAGCTCTCCTTTATCTCCCTAATCTGAAGGCTTCTCTCTATGTCTGCCCTAGTTTCGGGATACCCTAGACTCCTAAGCACAGGCGTCGCTTTAGACAAAAAGTGCGTGATCTCCCGCAGGAAGTCCACCAGAGTTACGTTGGATTTTTGCAGCAGCTGCATAAGCGTAAACCCCGTTGTATTGCCGCTGTTGGATTTTTTCTCTATTTCCCTTCCTGCTTGAAAATTTGCCTTCTTCACAACCAGAAGAACACATGCCCGCCACAACCTCTCAGTATCGTCCGGGTTGCTTGAGTGAAAACCTCCATTTGCCTTCATCATATCTTTCGTTCTTCGAAACAATTCCAGCCCATGAGTAAGTAGACCCTTATTTTCCACGAATTGCTCGGAAAACTTCAGGAAGCGCATATCCATCGAGTCGAGTGGAACCCCCGTTTCCGTCGGCGCTGCACCTGCACAGTGCTTCCTGGCTATTTCATGCTGATATTGCTGTTGCGCCTGCTGGTGTTGCATCCCATTCTGTTCCTTGCTACTAAGTATCACGACTTCACTCCCTTGATCGCCGTTAGTTTGCTTCACCTCACCTACCCCTACCATTTGTCCTCCTCCAGCGCCATCGCCTTCTCCCCCTTCTTCTCCTCCTCCTCCTCCTCCGCGCCAATCACCCACATGACGCTCTTCCTTGACAATTTGGTCGTTGGAAGAAGATACCGAAGCCCCAGCGGAAGCGGCAATGGCACCGAAAGCGGCCGCGGCAGCCGAGGGATGGCGCCCCTCCTGCGCCTGCTGTTGGTTAACCACGCCGTTTTTCTCGGGAGTAGCCTCTTTCTCACCTTTAACCGTTACCGCAGCCATCCAGCTCGATGACCTCTTCCCTGACGATTTCGAGTTTTACTTACATGTGCCTATCCTGTCAGACAGCTGTCCGCGCCGTCCGATGTACTCGTCTCCACATCGCCGATTCAGTGCCAGAGGATGGGCAAAAATCAGTGCACCAAAACACAGAAACCACTGAACAGAACGTGAGAGAAGGTAGGTGATGACTTGATGAGTGCAGAAACGCCGACGAAAAAGGACAGAGCGCTTACAAATTAAAAAGTAGGCGGGCAAACGGTCTAGAAAGAAAGGAATGCGAATGCGTTTAGGAGATCAGGCGAAGAAAGCCGGTTGCACAAGAGAATTGAGAAAAACAAAGGTGCGCGACGATGACGTCAATCTGACATGAGGATGAGCGCTGATGGTGTGCTATCACACGCCTGAGCAGGGGCCCAAGCCGAACCATGATGAATTGAAGCCTGACTACCCGGAAACAGTCCGGAGGCAAAAGGGAACAGGGGGGTGAGATAGGGGCGAAATCGATAGCACATGAAAAACTGAAGACGGCCCAAAAATCAACGATGCGGGCTCATAACGGGAAGCCATGGCGAGAGGAGACGGCTGTTATGTCCGATAACGGTGCTGACGGCGAGAGTGCATGTCCTCCTACCTCGTATAGCTCCTTTTTCGTCGGACTTACATGCTCAAGACGCCGACCTGGTCGCCCGGAAGTCATACCCACGGCGATGACCAAATCTCTCTACACTTCACCATTCTCCTTTAACTACTTTCTACGATTACCACCATCAAACCCCTCCCGGCCTTAACCGCTCTCCTCTCGTCCTACAACGTCAATGTTTGTTTGTCAAAATCAAACCAGCACGGCTTCGCAGGTCTCCATTAGCCATCATCACTCCCCGTTGTCTCTCAAGCGCGCGTGACTGAACCCTTCCGACCGAACACTACTCCTAAGCTTATACAGAGGACTCCTGCAAGAATAGCTACCTCTCACAATCAAGGGGATGCCTGTTGGCCCCCACCCTAATTAGTGGTGTTCAGGGAGTAGGGTGGGCCCGCCGGGGGCAGGGGGGCTGGGACTAACGCAAAGACCGAGCATCTTGCCAGTAGCTTAGCTGGGCATCCCTTCTGCTTCCCGCGGCCCCATCGAGTAACAACAATTGACCTGGCCACACCACTCTCCGAAACCCTAAATTCGAGAGGTTGTGCATCGCCATACACACTCAAAATCCGACACAAAAAGTAACCTCATGCATCGCCACACGGACACTCAAAATCCGACGTGTCCGGCATTTGGTCTCGAAACGCTCCTACCGAGAGAGCTTGCAGAAAACCCTCCTGGGTCCCAGCCCGCACTACTCGCATACTCAACAGAGCTTGCGGCCTACCTCGAATACCTCTCCGTTCTCAAGAAGTGTCAGTCCCATTACCCTCACAGTAGTGATGGTTTTAGTGGCTCCCAGGTTCACGAGGGAACACTTTTTTTTTTACTTTTTTTTTCCGAGTGCTGCGTGGCGAAGCGGCCAAGGGCAAGGGGCAACATGAAATCTCCCCTTCACCAGTGAGAGGAAACTATGCTTGCAGGGGTCCCCTCTAGATAGCCTTAGGAGTCGGTTGTGAAAGGCAAAAACAGAAGTTGAGAGAAGAATATAGAAAAAAAAAACTCTCTATGCACGGACGGGCTCTCAAAAGTAGCTGACAGGTCTCGAGTTACTTCGCTGTTTCGAGAGTCCTGTGGCCATGCCCAATGAGAAAACTCGTCTTTCCACCCAGCCCTAGAGAAATGGCTTTTTGTTTTCGCATTTTGCATCTCAAGTGGCCGTTCTTGAAACTCAAGTGCGGCCCCGCCAAAATCGCACATGAGTGCAAGTCACCTCCCCGAGGTGCCTTGAATTCAAGAGCTGCCCTGGGGTTTCAGCCGCGGACAGATTTTAATTTTTTGCCTTTTTTTTATGCCACACATTCCTGGTTCACGCACGGTCCTTCTTGCGGTCCAGCCAGTAACGGCTACCGGTGGATCCATGCAGATTCCAGAGAGCCGTTGGGGCAAACACGCGGGGCGACCGTTTCCGTGGGCAAGTGTTTGGCAGGGGGTGATTTGAAACGGCTTGCCGAGGAGACACATGTAGCCGTTGGGTTTGGAGGTGGGCGGGCGGCGGATGGACGATCATGTCGCGCTCCACACACCGGTACAAAGACAAGCATCATCCAACCCCATTGAATAGCGGCAATTGAACATACTTATGCCAATCTCCATTGTCGTTTCCTGTCGTATGCAGTGCACTGCGACATGCATGGCAGACCATGCTAGGATGGTGACGCTACTTTGTGTCCTCCTCCTCCTCCTGCTCCTTGTGGTACTGCTCCATCTGTGTTCTTTCACGCGTTGTAGGTGTCTGCCATGTAAGCGGAAGACGACAAAGTTCATCAAGCGGTCGGCGTGCAATGGAGGGATGGGTGGCGGCGACGGGGGGAACACATACATATTCGGGGTCAGGGGGGTGGGGGTGGGGGTGGGGGAGGTGTCCATCGGAAACACCCCAGTACGATCCTTCACTTTACGCACACCTGGGCCGCATCTTCAGCCGCTTCTCGATGACGAGAATTGGGAGCCGCCCCCATCGACGTTGAACCTTGCGTACAGTTCCACGCAGTCCATATCGGGCAGCGCTTGGGGGGGCAGGAAATCAACGACAGAGAAAGGGGCCAATGACGTCCCTTCTGTTGGCTGACCTGCAGCAGGGGATGAGTCCACCCCTCGATCTGCAGTTGTCTTCGGGGGTGAGGCCTACCAAACAGTAACAGTCCTCGGCAATGCGGCCAGCCGTTCGGAGGGTGACGGATCGGTTGGAAATGAAGGTTGTCATAGCAGTGCTCCAAGGTTGTAGCAATCCGGTGCACCAAAGAGCAGTGTTATCCAGGCGGGTAGAACTGCCACCCGACCAACGGTCGGGGCTGGAAGCAGTGTTGTTGGAGGTGCGGCAAGATGGAATACTCGACAGGCGAATATTGTGGAGCACATCATCGCATGAGTGTCCACAATGCGTGCCACCAGTGGCGGGGAGGCTGGTGTAGATGGGGGTGCAGACTACGAAGTCGTGGAAAAGGTGGCGGACTCCATCGACGAAGATGAAGATGACATTGAGGAAGAGGAGCCCAGTAGCGGACCTCTCGTTGGCCTGTGAGACCATCCCCTTGGCCTGTGTTGTATTCGGGGTAGTCCAGTCCATGCCGGTACCTTCGTCGGTATAAGCCAGTCCAGTCCAGTCCAGTCAGTCTGTTGGGATATACCCCAGCCAGAGTTTGTACTTTGCGGCATTCTACATTTGCACAATTTGGAGTACGTGCGTTGAAGTCTCACGCGGGAGTTGCGTAGTGCCATCTTGCTCCACTCTCATCCTCCATCTCCATCTCTATCCCAGGTGGAGCACCACACCTGGTGGGTCCGCCACAGTGGTATCAGAGCGGGAACGCTCCCCACTCCCACCCGCCACACCTCACAGTGGGGAACTGTGTACAACCCGACAACAGGTTTTTTGGGTGTTTTTGTGGTGTTTTCGGTGGAAAACAGAGGGAAAAGGTGATGAAACGTGCACGGCGAAGGAGCAAGACGTGACAAGAAAAGAGATATAGAGTCATGACGCGTGCGCAAGGCCAAGGTCGCCGCACACGCACACGCACACGCATGCGCCACGTGCTCACGCTGCCCCGCCCCGCCCCACTCCCCGATTATTTATCATCAAGATCGCTGTTGTCAGGGTTTGAACTTGGGCAGCTGCCACTTATGCGCGTGTGTGGCTAATGCCTTAACACACTGCCCAAAGCCATAGTCTTAGCTGATATTGTGGCTTGCTGGTGTTGAAGAAGTGCCACGGCAGCTATTTACACTCCCCCCCCCCCCCCCCCAATCGGCGAGCGGCAAGCAGCGTGCGGCAAGACAGCTATTTGCCCCCCCCCCATCGGCGAGCGGCGAGCAGCAAGCGAAAAATTTGAATTTTTTTCTTCTCTCTACTCCTTCTCTCATTTTTTTTATTTTTTTTATTTTATTTTTATTTATTCTAAAAATTTGAATTTTTCTGCGGCACCTCTAGATCTGTTTAGGACCTCGTTATTTCAACTCTCGGCACACATTTTGACCCTGCCAGGGTAACGAAGTGCTGCCAATTTTTTTTTTCTTTTCTCTCTACTCTCTCCCCTCTTACTTAGTCATATCTTTGACGGCACACTTCGACCCCATGGGGGTAACGAAATGCTGCCGAAAGTTTTGAAAAATTCAACACTTAGTCTCTCTTCACTCTCCACCGGTCCATTATTTATTTACTATTTATTCAATTATTTTCTGAAATTTATAATTTGCGGCATTTTGAAGCTTAGTGTGCTTATCTTGGTCTCTCCTTCCTCTTGGCACATTCTTGACCCCATGGGGTGAAGGGAAACGCTGCCGAAAATTCCAAAAAAATAAATATCATTTCTCTCTTTATATTTTGTTTATCTCTAACTATTTTTATTAATTTTTCTCTCGGAATTTTATTGTTTATTTATTTTCCTTTTCCCTTCCCCTCCATAGTTGTTATTTTATTTTCTTGATTAGGTCATCGATACCCCATCTTAACCACTCAAACTCCGGTTAGGGTTTTCTTAGGGTTTTTCTAAGGTTTAGGATTTTCCTAACCCCCCTCCTTTCCCTTCCTATTCGAGCACCCTGGACCCGAACCATCCCTCCCCATTTGATGGCACCCACGCTCGACTCACTAGCGTCGCTCGTCGCTTTCTACCGCCGACCCCCCCCTACGCCCTCCGCTCACGCGGCCCTCCTTTGGCCCTCTCCAGTTCGGCCCGTTACCTTCCCATCGCCGACGGTGTGTCACAAGCCGCCGACGGGACGACGAGCTCGGCACCGGGCTCCATACCCGTGTCGACGGACCAGGGCCATCACCCGCAGGGGGATCTGCACACCCTCCTCACCTCCCTCCTTGCGCCCATTCAGGCACAACTGGTGACCCTTGCGCCCTTACAGGCGAAAGTGGCGACTTTTGCCGCCAGCATGTGACAACTCCAGGAGGCTGGCTGCCCGTCTTTCCTCTCCTAACTCTCTCTCTTCTCCGGGCTCCCAGTCATGGTGGAGCTTCCTCCTCCGTTGCCCCCGACCCGACCATCCTAGTGACCGTCTACTCCCCTAGCGCGACGACCACCACGGGCCAGACCTTCCCTCGCTCTACGGGCGCACCCTCCAAGATTCCGGTCACTATGGCCACGGGACCACAGCCTGCTGTCGTGCTCTCAGGTTTTTCGGGTGCCTCGCTTCTCCCTCCCGTTCGCACGACCGCCGCGCCACCTGACTCTCCCCCTTATGGGATGCCCTGCGCCGCTCGTGCATCTACTTCCCCTACTACTCCTCGCTTGCTCTATATCCGACGTCTTGAGGCCGACCTGGCCCAGATCCGGGCCGACCTCGTCCTCTTACGCCTTCAACCACCCCTCCCCTCACAAGTGGCCGCGCCTTCGGGTGCACCCCCTTCTTCCTCTACTCTTCCATCCATGTAGGCTCGCTTCCCTCGCCCTCCACCCCCTCCACCCCATCCTACCTCCTTCCTACTCCCTCAGTTGCTCTGACCTCTTCTACCACAGCTCCCTCGCAGCCTGCCGTTGTTTCCCCCGCCGCTCCACCATGCGGCCAGGCGTACAGTCAGGTGCGCCCCCTTCTCCGGGACCTGCGCTGACTTACTCGGGCGTAGCGCATGACTCTGCCTCTTGATCTCCTCGTCGCCAAAACGGTGGTGCACCACTCATCCATTTGACGGACATTGCCTTGTATGACGGTACAGGGATACGTGTGTCTCGGTGGATGCAGTCTTCCACCCACACGCTCCAGCTCATGGGCGTCCCACCCGACAAGTGGGTGACTCACCTCTTCATGCGCCAGCTTGGCGATCCTTTCAACACCTGGGATGATTTCTATACTCACTCTCTTCGTGAGGGTCGTACCCGGACCTTCATGGATTTTCAGGCGTTCCTTGACGATCGCTTCGGAGCCCGACATGACGTGACTGACGCCTTCGAGCGTGTCGTCAGTACACGCGGGTCCGTCTCCGGAGGCGCTGCCGGCCTTGACCGCCACATCCAGGTCTTTCAGGACGCCCGCCTCATTTGTGATGTAGCGTTCCTCCCCGAGACTACCCTCATCGATCGTTTCCTGGCCAGCCTTCCCCTTGAGTACCGCTCTGAGTTATGGCGGTATGACTTCACATCGGCCCCGCAGGCTTACGAGGCCGCCACGGCCCATCAGCGGATGCGGGCCCGTCTTCAACCCACTTCCTCCTCCCTGCCTCGGTGTACTGGTTACGCTCCCTCCTCCTTTC